AAACATTTTGCTAATTTTGGCTAAAACGACATAGGTTAGCATGCTTATTTTTTATGGACGTGAAAATTGCATAGTGAAATTTCTGACTTTTAATTAAACATATGGCATACTAAGGCTGACCCAACCGAATTTGTTGAAAAATAAAGCTGTGGAAATTTGGCTTATTTTGGCTAAAAACGGCATAAGTTAGTATGCCAATTTTAATATTTACTTGAACATTTCATCGTGAAATGTCTGACTTTTAATCTACATATATCATACTAACCCTATCCCAAAACCCTAACCCCCCTGACCCTAACCCTTAACCGCTAACCCTAAACAAACCCAAACCCAACCCTCTTTTGTATTGACAAATTGTCAACTTTGCACCTTAACGTTTGTTCTGAAATATATTTCGGGAAATGATTGCGGGGGGGGGGGTTGACAATCACTGTCAGATTACACAAAATAAACGAAATCGATCGCAGGGAAGTATATTTGAAAAAACCTCGCAAAAACTCAATATTCAGAGCGCGGACTCGCCTGAATTACATACAGGCTGCCGATAATCACCACGCAGGCCGCAATCTAAACACGTGTTGACGCACGATTTAAAACTTCATCCCTCTTGGGAACGTGTTACAGCCTCCTCCTCGCCTCGTTACAATGAAAAACAATGTGAGGATTTTGCACTTAAATAGCTTTAATGTTACACTTAAAAAAGCGACGGTCTACGAGTCTAGGCTATTACTAACTCTAAACACAAGACAGGCCTCGTAACTGTGTTTGACAAAACAATTCCACTGAATGAGCTGGCAACTCACCTTGAGGAGGTGGAATCCACCTTGACGAGCTGCTAAGCCATATGGTCGAGCTGGTGATCCACCTTGAGGAGCTGCTAAGCCACATGGAGCAGCTGTGATCGGTAGTTGAAGACGAATTCAACGACGCCACAAGAACCACGCGTCCTCCACACGGTGACCAGCCAAGATGGCGCCCTGCGTGGGGAATCCCCGCCCCGCCCCGCCCCGCCCGCCCCGCCCCGCCCCGCCCCGGCCCCGCCCCGCCCCCCGCCCCGCCCCGCCCCGCCCCGCCCCGCCCCGCCCCGCCCCTGCCTACGACGCTCCCCGCCCTCAACCTCCCCCCACGTGACGCCTCGCTCCGCACGCGCCTTCCCATCAATCATCCTCTAGCCGCCTGTCACGACTCTCGTTCACCACCTGCCCTCTATTGCTCGCTGCGCCCTCTACAGTGCCACTTCCTTAATTATCTCTTCCCCTTTCTAATTTCTCTCAGCACCTGTGTTCTTCACATAAAAAAAATAGTAACTCCATGTAACGTGTATTTTTTTATTCAATCTCCGACACTTCCATGTATGAAAATGAAAGTATGTTCCAAATACAAATCCACACCGTGAAAGCAATCGCCACTAAACTTGTCTGGTATTCAATTCGTGGTTACGTCTGCCATCTTGGTGGACATGTGCAGTACAGGCCAACACAGTTCGCCAGCAGTTGCCGCTGTCAGGCGTCACCCCGCGCGTTCCCGCAGTTGTGAGTCGCTGCTGCTGCTGCGGCGTCCTGGCGTTAGTCCCAAGCGGGTTGGCTGCGATGAAGCCGTGAAGACGCCGCACAGCGCCACTGCTGCTGTCACCGCGCCAGGCACTGCAGTTGTACCACGTGACCACACGGTGGCGCTACAGCACCATGTTGGTTAAGGTATTTCAGCGAGTGTCCATGTTGGTTAGGTCATTTAGCGAGTGTCCATGTTGGTTAGGTTATTTAGCGAGTGTCCATGTTGGTTAGGTTATTTAGCGAGTGTCCATGTTGGTTAGGTTATTTAGCGAGTGTCCATGATGGTTTGGTTACTTAGTGAGTGTCCATGTTGCTTAGGTTATTTAGCGAGTGTCCATGTTGGTTAGGTTATTTAGCGAGTGTCCATGTTGGTTAGGTTATTTAGCGAGTGTCCATGTTGGTTAGATCATTTAGCGAGTGTCCATGTTGGTTAGGTTATTTAGCGAGTGTCCATGTTGGTTAGGTTATTTAGCGAGTGTCCATGTTGGTTAGATCATTTAGCGAGTGTCTATGATGGTTAGGTTACTTAGTGAGTGTCCATGTTGGTTAGGTCATTTAGCGAGTGTCCATGTTGGTTAGGTTATTTAGCGAGTGTCCATGATGGTTAGGTTATTTAGCGAGTGTCCATGATGGTTAGGTTATTTAGCGAGTGTCCATGTTGGTTAAGTTATTTTAGCGAGTGTTCATGTTGGTTAGTATATTTAGCGAGTGTCCATGTTGGTGTGTATGTTGAACTTCTTTCACACCGTACATAGCCAACCATGGTCATCGGAGGTGCCGGGGAGGGACACCAAACTAAGCACGAAAAGCAGTTCTAAAGAAAATATATTTTCAACTTAGATTTTAAAAATGCGTAGCTCCAGTCACTTCTTAATCTCGGAGGGAAGAACATTCCAGACGGCTGCAGAAGTGCATCTGAAAGCGTGCAATGCAGCGACCGTCTTTGTTCGATGACTTGCCAAAAGCTGCTACGAGGATGACCGGAGTTTGCGTGATGGTTGATGCTCTTTGATGATACCAGCAAGGTATTGGGGTTCACTTGTGGCCAGCGCTTTGTATGTGTAAAGTAGTCACTTGGCGGGAGACGACTTTGACGGGTAGCACACCTTTTTATTAACACCAAACTGTTACACGGGTGGCAACTGCCACATAACCCACGAGGTTCCCCTGAGCTATACCCACACGGGCTCTCACGCCCCGTAGCTTCTTGGAACACACCCGGCTGGGTTATTAGTCTCGACTCTGGGTCCCACAACCTGGTTCCACATGGACACCAGGCCCCGGGTCCCACAGCCTCGCCTCTGAGCCGCACAGGGTCCCGGCCCTTACAAGGACAGCGGGGCTAGGGGTCTCAGGGCCCTATCTCTTCAACTCCGTCTTCGATCTTCAGCTGGTAATAACTCCCCGAGTGCTCTCGCGCGTCCCCCTTTATAGTCCTCCATGCGGACGTCGCTGAGAGCACCCACCCAAGTTGACCAATCACCCAGCGCGCTGCCCACGATCCTGTTTCCCATATCGTGTCTGCGTGCATAACCACGCACCCAGCGCCGCCCCGTGATCCATCACTGTCAGCGTGCGTCAACACCCCCACACTCGATGTAGCCACGCCCGGCGCGCGCACACCCACACCTCCACCTTGTCAGCGCGCACCGCCACTACATCACCCCCTACCACATAGCTCGCAGCCGACCCGGCTGCTAATTTTTTTTTTTATTTCCCTCCCCAATTAGTGTGTGCCCCGTAACACCAACAACAATCACAACAACACAATAAGAACTCCGCCATCCATAAGCAGAGCATATCACCGCAACAATATGTACAAGCGGCGAGCGACAACAATAAACGTATATACAAAAATGACTCGTGCAGCGTCCCTTCATTTCTGACCACCGCTTGAACGGGGCAATGTACCGGGCAGAAGGGGAACGTGGCGCCGAGCCGCAATCTCGGCCCCCCCCCCTCAGGAAAAGTGGCTAGTCTTAGCACGAGTCCGCCTGGCCGGTCCGTCGTACGGAGCCAGACGCGGTTCACCGTCCGGTGGCGCCGGCAGTCCAGGGAGGCACGGGGCAGGTATTGTAGATCCGTGCGCGCCTCGGGATTCCGGCTCTCGGTGGTCAGCCGCCGTCAGGTCCGTGACACCTGGGAGTAGGTCAGGCGGAGATACGTGAGGATCAGACTGCGACACCTCCCACCCCGAGCCGAAGGCCCCATCACACGCTCGGTCGTTACGGCACACAGGGAGGTCATGGGTTTCCGCGAAAGGTTTCAGCCGGGAGGGGTGTACGTACCAACGGCGTTTTCCCCATTTAATCTGGATACACTGGGGTCGCGCAATACGCACGATTTCCACAGGTCCACTCCATGGTCTCAACAACTTAGGGGACGTGGCCAACGGTGCATGTGGGCAATGCAGCCAGGCCTTATCGCCTGTTTTACAATCGTGCGTATACACTTTCCGTTCATGCAACCTTTCGTTAGCGACCTGGCGCGACCTCGAATTCAACCTTGCAGCCTCTCGCACTTCAGCCAGCTTGGCGATATTAAATTTGATGTGGTTGGCCAATTTGGATTTCGCACGTGGCTGGGAAATCCCCAGTTGGACATCCATAGGCGGATCAGCCTCCCGCCCATACATGAGAAAAAATGGGGAAAACCCCGTTGCCGCATGGGGGGCCATACGATAGGCCGCGAGTACCCCGGGTACCTGTAAGTCCCAATCAACCTGATTGTTGCAGACCTGTTGGCACAGCATAGAAGTAATCGTTCTGTTTAGACGTTCAACCATTCCATCAGTCTGCGGGTGGTACGGGGAGGTACGCACTTTTTTTGTACCCAACAGGTCACACACCTCGCGCAACAAAACGCTCGAAAAATGCTTTCCTTGGTCCGTCAGCAAGCGTTCTGGGGCGCCTTTGTCCAAAACATAGCCCTGGACAAAGGCGTCCGCCACCGCCGCAGCCGACTGGTTGGCGAGTAGCCACGCCATAGGCCATCGGGTGAAGTATTCTACGCCGACCAGCAGGTATTTGTTACCCCTAGGTGTAGCGGGAAAGGGCCCCAAAATGTCGAGCGCAACCAATTCGTTCGTGCGCGAAACCTGAAAGGATTGCAGCGGTGGATTAGCCGCTATCTGTGGTGGTTTCCTTCGAGCGCACCCCACACATCCCTTGAGGATGTTCTCCACGTCGCTCCCCATACCCGGTTGTTGTCTGCTAGGGTTGTTGTCTGCTAGGGTTGTTGTCTGCTAGGGTTGTTGTCTGCTAGGGTTGTTGTCTGCTAGGGTTATTGTCTGCTAGGGTTGTTGTCTGCTAGGGTTGTTGTCTGCTAGGGTTAATAATAATAGTCCCGTTGGAGTAGGGCAAGCGTTTTGTGAAATCCCAAATGCATGAGGCGTTCGTGAGCAGCCAGAACGACCCTACCCCGTAAAGCAGATGGCACAACGAGCGTATGGCGCCGGGACATATTGTCCCACTTCATCAGGAGGCCCTGTCTGACCACCCACCAACTGACCCGCGTCTCCCCCCCTCGGGAGCCTCCGCCTTCCGCCGCAGCGTGAGTAGGGAGCTGTCGGCCATTTGGAGACGGCCCTACTCGATAAGAGGTAACGCGAGTAACGAGTCCCCGCCCGTGGGAGCGGCGGGCAAAACGACCTCTGGAGCATCAGTGGTGGCGAGCAAAACTCCCGCGCGAGCGGCGACAGGGGGTTTACACCGCGCCGATCCCAGAAAACACGCGCATTCCGAGCGAGGCGGCAATCGCGACAAGGCATCCGCATTCGAGTGCCGCAATCCCTTTCGGTAAATCGTCGTGAACTGGTAGTCTTGTAGGACCTCCAGCCATCGGGACAATTGGCCGGAGGGTTGCGCCACCCGCATTGCGTATTGGAGAGCCGCGTGGTCCGTACGAACAGTAAAATGACGTCCGTAGAGATACGGTCTGAATTGCTGTATAAAAAAAACGACACCGGCAGGCAGCAACCCCCGGCAGGCAGCAACCCCCGGCCGGCAGCAACCCCCGGCCGGCAGCAACCCCCGGCGGCAGCAACCCCCGGCCGGCAGCAACCCCCGGCCGGCCGGCAGCAACCCCCGGCCGGCAGCAACCCCCGGCCGGCAGCAACCCCCGGCCGGCAGCAACCCCCGGCCGGCAGCAACCCCCGGCCGGCAGCAACCCCCGGCCGGCAGCAACCCCCGGCCGGCAGCAACCCCCGGCCGGCAGCAACCCCCGGCCGGCAGCAACCCCCGGCCGGCAGCAACCCCCGGCCGGCAGCAACCCCCGGCCGGCAGCAACCCCCGGCCGGCAGCAACCCCCGGCCGGCAGCAACCCCCGGCCGGCAGCAACCCCCGGCCGGCAGCAACCCCCGGCCGGCAGCAACCCCCGGCCGGCAGCAACCCCCGGCCGGCAGCAACCCCCGGCCGGCAGCAACCCCCGGCCGGCAGCAACCCCCGGCGGCAGCAACCCCCGGCCGGCAGCAACCCCCGGCCGGCAGCAACCCCCGGCCGGCAGCAACCCCCGGCCGGCAGCAACCCCCGGCCGGCAGCAACCCCCGGCCGGCAGCAACCCCCGGCCGGCAGCAACCCCCGGCCGGCAGCAACCCCCGGCCGGCAGCAACCCCCGGCCGGCAGCAACCCCCGGCCGGCAGCAACCCCCGGCCGCAGCAACCCCCGGCCGCAGCAACCCCCCCCCCCCCCGGCCGGCAGCAACCCCCGGCCGCAGCAACCCCCGGCCGACAGCAACCCCCGGCCGACAGCAACCCCCCCGCACCCCCGCCGACAGCAACCCCCGGCCGACAGCAACCCCCGGCCGACAGCAACCCCCGGCCGACAGCAACCCCCGGCCGACAGCAACCCCCGGCCGACAGCAACCCCCGGCCGACAGCAACCCCCGGCCGACAGCAACCCCCGGCCGACAGCAACCCCCGGCCGACAGCAACCCCCGGCCGACAGCAACCCCCGGCCGACAGCAACCCCCGGCCGACAGCAACCCCGGCCGACAGCAACCCCCGGCCGACAGCAACCCCCGGCCGACAGCAACCCCCGGCCGACAGCAACCCCCGGCCGACAGCAACCCCCGGCCGACAGCAACCCCCGGCCGACAGCAACCCCCGGCCGCACCCCCGACAGCAACCCCCGGCCGACAGCAACCCCCGGCCGACAACAACCCCCGGCCGACAACAACCCCGGCCGACAACAACCCCGGCCGACAACAACCCCCGGCCGACAACAACCCGGCCGACAACAACCCGGCCGACAACAAGCCGAGCCGACAACAAGCCGAGCCGACAACAAGCCGAGCCGACAACAAGCCGAGCCGACAACAAGCCGAGCCGACAACAAGCCGAGCCGACAACAAGCCGAGCCGACAACAAGCCGAGCCGACAACAAGCCGAGCCGACACACGTGCACGCACGTGCACACACGTGCACACACGTGCACCCACGTGCACACACGTGCACACACGTGTGCACACACGAGCACGCACGCGCATGCACGCACGCGCACACACGTGCACGCACGCGCACACACGTGCACACACGTGCACACACGTGCACGCACGTGCACACACGCGCACGCACGCGCACGCACGCGCACGCACGTGCACGCACGCGCACCACGTGCACACGCGTGCACCCACGTGCACGCGCGTGCACCCACGTGCACGCGCGTGCACGCACGTGCACCCACGTGCACGCACGTGCAGGCACACGCACGCGCACGCACGTGCACGCACGTGCACGCACGTGCACGCACGTGCACACACGTGCACGCACGTGCACACACGTGCACACACGCGTGCACACACGTGCACGCGTGTGTACACACGCGCACGCACGCGCACGCACGCGCACGCGCGGCACGCACACGCACGCGCACGCACGTGCACGCACGTGCACCCGCGTGCACACGCGTGCACACACGTGCACGCGTTTGCACGCACGCGCACGCACGCGCACGCACGCGCACGCACGCGCACGCACACACGTGCACGCCGTGCACGCGCACGCACGCGCACGCACGTGCATGCACGCGCACGCACGCGCACGCACGTGCACAGACGTGCACACACGTGCACACACGTGCACGCACGTGGACGCACGTGCACACACGTGCACGCACGTGCACACACGTGCACGCACGTGCACACGCGCTCACGCACGCGCACGCACGCGCACGCGCGCGCACGCACGTGCACACACGTGCACACACGTGCACCCACGTGCACACACGTGCACACACGTGTGCACACACGAGCACGCACGCGCATGCACGCACGCGCACACACGTGCACACACGTGCACGCACGTGCACGCACGTGGACGCACGTGCACGCACGTGCACGCACGTGCACGCACGTGCACCACGTGCACACACGTGCACCCACGTGCACACACGTGCACACACGTGTGCACACACGAGCACGCACGCGCATGCACGCACGCGCACACACGTGCACGCACGTGCACGCACGTGCACACACGTGCACACACGTGCACCCACGTGCACACACGTGCACACACGTGTGCACACACGAGCACGCACGCGCATGCACGCACGCGCACACACGTGCACACACGTGCACACACGTGCACGCACGTGCACACACGCGCACGCACGCGCACGCACGCGCACGCACGCGCACGCACGTGCACGCACGCGCACCCACGTGCACGCACGTGCACCCACGTGCACGCACGTGCAGGCACGTGCACGCACGTGCACGCACGCGCACGCACGTGCACGCACGCGCATGCACGCGCACGCACGCACACGCACGTGCACGCACACGCACGCGCACGCACGTGCACGCACGTGCATGCACGTGCACGCACGTGCACACACGTGCACGCACGTGCACACACGTGCACCCACGTGCACACACGTGCACACACGCGTGCACACACGTGCACGCGTGTGTACACACGCGCACGCACGCGCACGCACGCGCACGCGCGCGCACGCACACGCACGCGCACGCACGTGCACGCACGTGCACCCGCGTGCACACGCGTGCACACACGTGCACGCGTTTGCACGCACGCGCACGCACGCGCACGCACGCGCACGCACACACGTGCACGCGCACGCACACATGTGCACGCACGTGCACACACGCGCACGCACGCGCACGCGCACGCACGTGCATGCACGCACACGCACGCGCACGCACGTGCACAGACGTGCACACACGTGCACGTGCGTGTGCACGCACGTGCACGCACGTGCACGCACGTGCACGCATGTGCACGCACGCGCACGCACGCGCACGCACGTGCACGCGCGTGCACGCACGCGCACGCGCGTGCACCCACGCGCACGCACGTGCACGCACGCGCACGCACGTTCACGCACGTGCACACACGTGCATACACGTGCACGCACGCGCACACACGTGTGCACACACGTGCACACACGTGCACGCGTGTGCACACACGTGCACACACGTGCACGCACGTGCACGCACGTGACCACGTGCACACACGTGCACGCACGTGCACGCACACACGTGCACGCACGTGCACGCACGTGCACCACGCGCCACGCACGCGCACGCACGCGCACGCGCCGCACGCGCACTCACGCGCACGCACGTGCACGCGCGTGCACGCACGTGCACACACGTGCACCACGTGCACACACGTGCACACACGTGTGCACACACGTGCACGCACGCGCATGCACGCACGCGCACACACGTGCACACACGTGCACGCACGTGCACACACGTGCACACACGTGCACCCACGTGCACACACGTGCACACACGTGTGCACACACGCGCACGCACGCGCATGCACGCACGCGCACACACGTGCACACACGTGCACACACGTGCACGCACGTGCACGCGCGTGCACGCGTGTGCACACACGTGCACACACGTGCACACGCACGCAAACACGTGCACACACGTGCACACGCGTGCACACGCGTGCACACGCGTGCACACGCGTACACACGCACGCGTACACACGCACGCGTACACACGCACGCGCACGCACGCGCACGCACACACGTGCACGTCTGTGCACGCACGCGCACGCACGCGCACGCACGCGCACGCACGCGCGTGCACGCGCACGCACACACGTGCACACACGTGAACACGCGTGCACATACGTGCACCCACGTGTGCACACGCGTGGACGTGCACGCGCGCGCACGCACGCACGCGCACGCACGCACGTGCACGCACGTGCACGCACGTGCACGCACGTGCACGCGTGTGCACGCACGCGCACGCACGCGCACGCACGCGCACGCACGCGCACGGCACGCGCACGCACACACGTGCACGCGCACGCACACACGTGCACGCGCACGCACACACGTGCACGCACGTGCACCAC